CCCCAAAACCCCAAAACCCCAAAACCCCAAAACCCCAAAACCCCATTCATGTAATCATAATTTATTAATATTCATAACTTAGTATGGGGAGTATCTGAGCATGTAATAACTCGCCTCATGAGTCCTACAAAGGGTTGACTACAACCCAAAAGTCTCGTAAGTTCTTAAGATAGACAGCATGCCTTTTTAAAACTTTTGCACCTGGAATCCCAATCCATAAGTTAGATTCCAAAAATGCTCCTTCAGTTTAAATAAGATTTTTGCCATCTTTCTTAACAGAATGAACATTCACAATCTAGTCTTAATTCATGAGTTTGTAGAAATATTTTTATTTAAACTTCGATAATAAATTTTGAATCAATGAAAGAGTTTTGGTTTAAGACCTATTGCTGAAGCCCACCGAGATCGAATGGCAGACACATTCTGCATTCAGAAATTTAGAATTTATTCTTAAAATCAGCCTAAAATAGCATTTACCCTTTACAAGAAATTTAGATGAGCTATTACCCGATCTTTTATATATACTCAATTTTTATTAATCTTAAACATAGATTGCCGTGTTCCTTCAAGTTTTATGACCAGAAATAACTCTGAATACTTCGAACAGACCAAAGACATCAGGTATCTCACAACGGAGGACTCTATCTGTGAAGAAGGCCTTTCAATGAACGACACAGGCCTCGAACCCCCATCCCCCCTCTTCCTCCAACCCTCCAAAAACTCCAACAAAATCCCCGTCATAAGCTCCTGAATCAACGCCTTCAAATTCTTCGACCCAGAGATGTACAAAAACTGTAACTTCCCATCTCTTAACGCTATAGTCCGCTTAAAAACCCAAAAAGCCAGGAACAACTATTACCTCGCTCTGCACAACATTGACAACCCGTGCCTCTCCAGGGATAAGTTGGTCAAGAAATGTAAGGTCCTTAAGAAACGGAAGTACCTTACCCAACGCCTGGTAGAGTTAAATTGAGAATACGTGAATAAGCAGCAAGGAATTTGGAAGATCAAGCAAAAGGTCATGGTTTAGTAGTCCTGGAGAGGATTATTGGTTTAGGATTTAGGAAGCTTATAATATAGTTTCAAAATATTTAAGTGTAATTGGGGTTTTGGGGTTTTGGGGTTTTGGGGTTTTGGGG